GGTTATGGCAATTATTCTTTTAAACTTTTATGGAACTTGTCCATTTTTATTTTCAAAGATGGAAGTTTTAATTGCAGTGGGGGATGAATTGTCCATCTATGCAACCTCTTTTATCCTGGACTTCCCTGAATTAGCTAAGGCAATGTCAACTACAGGGGCAGAAAAACCCTGGCAGCCCAGGGTTTTACCCCAATAGAAGATGCAGCCATTGCTCTTCTCCATGAGACCCCTCCAGGACCCAAACTCCTTCCACCACAGGGCCTGACACCCTGCAGCCTGGCTGACCTCAGTCACCCTTCTGTATGTGGGAAGAGTTCAGCTAGAACACAGTTCCATCATGTGGGAAAGTCCTGGGGTGCAAACCAAGAGTTATGGGCCCCATGAAACTGTACTAGAGGGGAGAAGAGACAGTCTAGCTGTGTCCCCAAGAGCAAAGGGATTCAGATTTTGTAGCACATACAAAGTTTTGCTACACATTAACTACATAGGTTCCTAGTGCTCTGTGTTCGAATTCAACTTTCTGACATAGAAAACACACACACAAAGATCTCCAGTCTTCTTGTACCAGGATGTCATACTGGGTGCCCTCAAGGCCACCCTTAAGTTTGGCAATTTTTTAGGAAGACTAAGCACACAGTAGCACTCCAGTTATGATGAATTATATCAAAAAGATACAAAACAAAAGCAGCAAAGGAAAGGTAGCCCTCTCTCCATGGAGTCACCCTAGATTTGATTCTTTAGTGCCTAAAGACTTGACTTAGGGCTGGTCTCCTGGTTCACACCCAAATTCCTGACTCCCTGGGGGAAAGCAGGGGCTCAGCATGGACATTCTTGGTGGCAACAGTTTAGGCCCAGGGAGCCACTCTCGTGTCTTCCAGGATCAGGAAGCTTCCCAAATCCAGTGTCCCACATGCTAGCCGAGGGCCGCCTTCCCAGCAGACCCGAGCAGGGCAGGCTCAGGCAGTCTTGGTGGTGTAGGTGATTTTGATTTTCGAGATGACAGGAAGAAGTGTGAGACTTTAATAAGGAAGCAGATGCTCAAGGAAATTGACAGTTATCATCTGATCACTTTTTGCTGTGGGTGGTGGAGTGTGGAGGACTTGAGGGGGCAGAAAGGAGAAACCCACCAAAGTGGCAGGGTCACTGGGGTTCTCCTGCCTGGTGTGTGCCTGGCAAGCCCTCACGGTCACCCAGAGCCTGGATTCCACACTCCTCCTCCTCCCTCCTAACAACTCTGTTTGAGCTTCACTAAAAACTCCTTCCTGCTTAAAGTGATTAAATCGAACCGGTTTTCTGTGCTGAAAATGTCAAATTGTACAGCCCCTTAGCTTTAGAGTGTGACAGAACAGAAGCTCAAGCCACAGACATTTCAGTCGATTGCTACTTGAAAGTCTTAGACTACGGTCACCTGTGGAACTGTCAACGTCTATTTTGCCACTTACATTCTAATGTTTTTAGATTTTCATTAAAAACATTTTGAGACTCAGCTTCACTTGAAAATCAGAATATTTGGAAACTCTGTAAAAGGAAATAGAGTTCAATAATAGTCTATGAGAAACACTCATTTATTATTAGTTATGAATTAAATAGTATGTCTAATTAAGTTATGTAATTATTGAGCACCTACTGTCTCCCAGGCTGTGGACCAGGAGCCATGTCTGCTCTGGTGATCAGAGTACAATGGGGAGAGGGACCGGGACTCTATTTGTTGATCAGTTTGTTAATCCACTGGGGATATCATCAGATAAAAATGCAAGAAGGTCCTGAGGACCTTATTCTGGATCAGACCCTCTTATTTCCTTATGTGGATGCCATTTCTTCCTTAAAACACTCTAAGAAGTAGATGCTATTTTCATTAGATGAGGCACAGAGAGTGAGGAGACTGCCCAGCACCACACAGCTAACCAGACACCACTGGTGCTGCTGAGCTGGTACCTGGCCTCCCTGCCCACCCTGCCCTATGCATCTGGGACCAGAGGGGCTCCAACCCTGCTCTTCAACACGTCTCAGTGTGGCGGGTGGGATTGAGCTTGGATGGCAGAATTGTAGCAAATAAATATTTGTTAATTTTAAAAAAGCAGAGGTTGGTTTTGAGGCTGATGCAGTTGCTCTGCTGTGCAGCTGGGGAGTTTTGCCAGTGCGCCCAGGAATCCTGAGGCAGCGGCAGCTTGCCATCCTCTCCCAAGCCCTTTGCACCTGTCTTTAAGTGCAAAGCAGCCCCAGTTCTACATGTGCACACTGACTCCATCGTGAACATCCTCCCCTGGGCATGAAGGGCATCCTGCTGGCAGATTCTCTGCAGCTGGCAGGAGAACCTTCCATCTCCAGGGAAACACCATCCTCCAAGCACTTGGTGCATCCTTGGACTATGACACCAGCAGACGTTTTCCCAGAGCAGGTGAGAGACAGAAACTGGAGGGCAGATTGTCTGTGGACGTTTTTGATGCCTGGTGCAGACTAGGGCTCCTCTCAGTCCTGCCAGGTGACAATGCACAGGAGGTTCTAAAGAAAGGGATTCCTTGATGCCCAGGTGCATTTCCATGGACAATGTAAGACCAGCTCGTCCAAGCTTGCGCCTTCATAGACCACGTTCTGCTGAGGCTGGGTAAGTAGCATTCAATGTTCCTAGTGGATTTTCTTAACAGGTGTGTGTGTGTGTGTGTGTGTGTGTGTGTTTGCATATAACAATTGCATCTGCTTATGGGACACAATATGATATCTGGATACACGTGCACGCTGGGTCCTGCCTATATCAAAGCTGATCTCATAGAAGGTGAGAACAGAATACTGGTTACCAGAGGTCAGAGTTGTTGTATATCCATAAAACTACCTGATAAGTCCCTCTGTGATGGGGACTTGCTCCTGTCCTTTGGTGTCTTTATCCTGTGAGATGCCTGTTAGGCAGAGGTCTCAGGTCACCCTGGGGCTTCATTCTGCCCTTTTAAAACATCATGCTGTG